CTCATAATAATAATAATTATAATAGTAATAGTAATAATAATAACAATAATAATAATAATAATTACAATAATAACAATAATTTTATATATATAATTTTTAATATATATATTAAATAATAATAATTTTTTAAATAAATAATAAATTATTTATTAAATAGTAATAATATTTTAAATAAATAATGAATTAATGATTAAATAATAATAATTTTTTAAATAAATAGTAAATTATTTATTAAATAATAATAATTTTTTAAATAAATAGTAAATTATTTATTAAATAATAATAATTTTTTAAATAAATAGTAAATTATTTATTAAATAATAATAATTTTTTAAATAAATAGTAAATTATTTATTAAATAATAATAATTTTTTAAATAAATAGTAAATTATTTATTAAATAATAATAATTTTTTAAATAAATAGTAAATTATTTATTAAATAATAATAATTTTTTATATATGTATTATTTTATAATATATAATATCTGTACATAATAATATAATATATATAATAATAATAATTCTTATTATAATAATGATAAATTATAAATAATAATTATTAATTACGTAATTATTATTATAATAACGATAGTAATAATTAATACTATTTCAAAGCTAAGGAGACGCAAATCGGTTGGTATCGGCACACACACACGGACGTGATGAGAACATGCTTCCCATTCTGAAACGCTCCGCAATTGAGAGAGAAAAGGCGATAGAGTCGCGCGATAAGCCCCTCGACCTCCCGTATAAATATCTTACATCGGAATTTTACCGAAAACGTCGCGGGACGCCGGCCGACGGCCGACGCGATAACGCATCGTCCCGCATTCAGTGTTTGTCTTTGCAGCGATCTTATCTGCGTTCGGGTCACGTTCGCTGAACGAGGCTGGGGGTAAGGTCGTTCCTTGATCCGCCAATGGCAGCGGCGATCCGGCAACGTGCCTTCGAAGTCAGCGGTGAATCGCGCGAGCGACGAGAGACTTGCCCCCCCCCCCCCCCCCCCCCCCCCCCCCCAG